TCTCTCTCTCTCTCTCTCTCTATGTCTCTCTCTCTCTCTCTCTCTCCCTCTCTCCCTGTCTCTGAGTCTCCGTCTCTTCGCGACCAAGCGATAACCCGTGCGTCTGTTGAAGAGTGAACTCCATTTTGAGCAGCAGCCGCTGTGCCTGAGCTCGCCGATCTATGGGGTCATGAATCATCGCCGATGGTGTACCCTGTGCTCGATGCCCTTGCGGCCCGAGTCGTGTCCTCGGTCTCACTCGTCGCCCTCCTCCATCATCTCCATCTGCCGCCYGTGGTTTGGGTACGTAATCGGAGTCCCCTGCATCATCAGTGTCTGTGGTCTCTCCTGGGGCGACATCTGTGCTGTCGTCGTGGACGATAAGTACATTGTCGCGTCTCTTCTGACCTGCCACTGCATTCCCTGTGTCCTCCCTGCCGACGATATCCGCCGTCGTTGCATCCCTCTCTCCAACATCCAATGCGTCGCCGTCAGGTGCAATCTTTCCGTCCTCGAGATGCACAACGCCCGATCCTCTCTCTCGGGAACGCATATGTGAGGATGAACGTGACGCCTTACTTGCCGAGGCCTTCTTCCTTGCCCGAGAAAGACTCGCCTTTGCGGCTCTCGTAGCATGGACATCAGACGTCTTCGTCGGCAAAGCACTCCCGTGTCGGTCCACAAACTCTGCCATGGCGGTATGCCAAGCACCATCCACACTCCCAATGGATCGTTTCCCCATAGACGGTGCAGATGGCCTGCCAACATTCCGGACTCCCTACTCATCCATCCCCCCAGTACTCTTCCCGCTGGCATAGAATACCACTGTCGGCAAAACAGTGGCTCTGTCGCGCCGTGCTGTCGCCGATGACCCAACCACAAGCTGTTCTGTCGCGTCCGCGCCACTATTTGTGACGGGGACGCCGGCATCTGCGCCGACAGTCGCGGCAATCGGATGATGCTCTGAGTTTGACGGCGGACTTGGGGGTCTTGCTTCTCTTTCGAGTGTGTCAACTGGCCAACGAGGAGACCCTTCCTCTGCGCCGTCAAACGAATGAGAAAGACTGCGTTGTGCGATGCTGCGCTGACCGTCGCGGCGGTGTCGCGTCGCCGTCTCCGCCAAACCAAGGGCCATCTCGCGTAGTTTGCCAACACGAAAAATTGTGGGCGTGGCAGACACCATTGGGCCCGTAATCATATCGGCGATATCGCCTCCTGCCACGTCAAACCCGTTCGATCCACGCTCCATGACAACAGGCTGTTGTGGCTTGGGCGGTGACACATGGGGTAGACCTGGGGATATCAACGTCGACAAGTCCGGTAGAGAAACGAGCGCAGAGTCCATGGTCAGTAACTCGCCCGTACCCGGAAGACTGCCGGTGGGGCATGCGAGGCAGATATGGTTTGCGGCGCTTTGCCCGGCTGCGGGAGTGTGTGAGATATCACGTTCCGGGAGATCGTCGCCTTGACACACAACAACGGTCCCCTGACTCCCCTCCATCAATGCAGGCGGTGGCCGCGGTTGAACACTGCGAGGTGGGAGCATACTTTCTTGCTCCGCCACTGCTAGTGGTTGTCCCACATCCAAGTTCGCTGCAACTGAGACTGCCGCTCCGACAGACGTGAGTGGATGCAGTGCACCGACAGAACCCTCGTCCGGCACTGCCGGGAGAGGACTGATCTCTCCCTGAACCTCGGGATGACGCATCAACGGTGCTGGACCCCGTTGCGATTCTGGGACTGCTGCGGAAGGCCCCATCGGAACTCTCGCGTGCATACTCGAAGTGTCACCTCGTGGATGACCGCTCCCGCCATGCAGCTCAATCCGATCCTCGCTGCCGTGATCGCTGAAAGAGTCCTCAGAAACTGGAATCTGCCCAGTTGCGGGGACTCGTGATAGTGGAATGCTAGCAACCCCACCATGACGTTTGCACACACGTGAAGCGATAGTGTCTTTTTCCCTTGGTCCGCGTTTCAAGCGCCTCAGGTCACCGCCTGAGACAGGTCATGAACCATCATCATGCACTCCATCTCGAGCGTCATCTACTGCTGTGCGGTGCTCGCCCCCTGCCCCGTCGACGCGCATCGTGTCACCATGTGCAGGTCGTGGCCCATCTCCTCCGTCACCGTGATCATCGCCACTGGCGCCATCATCGTCGCCGTGGCCTATCTCCTCCGTCACCGTGATCATCGCCCCCTGCCACGGCGACCGTTCTTTCTCCCGACCGCAGTGGATCCATCTAAATAACGACCACGAGCAACGAAATGCCAAACATGATCATCTCGTTTTCCATCCRCCTTTGGATCCACCTTAAAAGGGGAGTCAAAGGTCTTCGTGTTGTGACCTTTTCTACTACCCTCCGCCCTTTTCCCCGTTGCCGAAGAGGACTCCGCGGGGCCCTTCCCGTTATTGCCTCGAGGGTCATACATGTTGTGGAGACCGAATGAAATCCGCAGAAAGGATGAACCGAAACGAACTTCGACGCCAACGACAAAGAACTGCACCGAAGTTACTGAACAACCGACGAATCAACCTGTAAAAGATGGACAGTGACAAGAACGAACACAAGTTTCACAACAACCACATCGACAAACAAGAGAAGGAACAAACATAAAGACCCCTAGAGACAAAAAAAAAAAAAAACACCCCTAGAAAGAAAAAAAATAATAAACAAATCAACACACATTCCACGGCATCCCGTCTTTGCTACACCCCCTAGACCCCCGATGCATTGCCGCTCATGGCGGTCCCCCCCAAGAACAAGAGAAGGAACAAACACAAAGGTAGAAATAAAGATACAAAGAAAACACACACACACACACACACACACACACACACATTCACGGCATCCCGTCTTTGCCGCACCCCTTAGAGTCCTAGGCCCCCCATGCATAGCCGCTCATGGTGGTCCACCCCAAGAACAAGACAAGGAA